AGCGAAATAAATTTTGGGATCTCAATTGTGAATTTAGTGAAAGTATGAGACCTTATTCAATGTTTAGCCAACTTTTAAAATATGCAGTTTTGGTTAATTCTGAATACCAACCCAACTTAAAACGAAAATTTTCAATTAGTTTTGAATAATTAAAGTGATGACATGTTCCCAAAAAAAATGTGTTTGACGACATAACATGTATAATCACTGAACTTTTCAATTATTAACAACTCTAAATAAATATTTAGTTAACAACCACTTAGAGTTAACAATATTAGCCCTAAAAATTTTTGTCTAGTTATGATTTTATTTGAGAATTTCAATTACTTTGGTACTTTATTTGAGCAAAATAGAACTTTGAGACAATTATGAATTTAGTGAAAGTTTGCAACCTTGTTCATTACTTAAGCAATTACCATATTTATTTAATTGGATGAATGTATCTGCCGCCAAACAAGGAGTAGAAAGGAATAAAATTATTATTTCAAATAGCTTATTCATTTATATAATATATATATATATAGTTGTTTGTTTCTCATTTCCTTTGGTAATGGATGGTTTTATACATACCTCCTATATATGGTTGGAATTGGCAATTTAGTTTAACTTTTTTTTTATTGCTTATTTGTTTCGAATTTTCTGTTGACGAACACTAGAAGAAGTATTTTTTATTCACACTATTTATTATGTTTCAGGACCTTAAATTACCAATTAATGGCGGACATAGTTGGGGCAATCTTCACTGCATTGAGTTGCATTTGTGGTACTCCAACCTGCAACTGTATAGATCAATATAGAAATTTTGATCATGATGTGGGTAAGCTGAGAAGAGAATTGGACACTCTAACCAACCGAAAGCAAGATATAGAATCAGGAATAGAAGTAGCAGAGGCTCGCAGGGGACAAATGGTTAGACGAGAAGTGCAAGACTGGCTTAAGCAAGTACAAGACATTAATGTTGATGTACAAGCATTTTTAGAAAAGGTGCAGGGAATCAAGTGCTACAAGCGTGCCTGTCTTTACAAACTTGTTTGTAGAAAGATTAATGTGGTGAGGGAGATGCTTGAAAAAGGTAGTTTTCCTGGAGGCCTTTTTATTGACAAAGCTCCAGCTCGTGGAAACAGAATTCCAACAGAGAATTTAGTGGGGGAAATTTCTACTAAAGAAGAAATTTGGGGGTACTTGATGGGTGATGAGGTTGGAATGATCGGAGTTTGTGGCATTGGTGGAGTTGGAAAGACTACAATCATGAAGAATCTCCACCATGATTTACAGAGGGAGACTAGATTTCAGAAAGTCATTTGGGTTACTGTATCACATCCTCTCAATGTTTTTGAATTACAAAAGAAGATTGCCGGTGCTATGGGCGAAAGACTTCTAAATGATGATAAAGATGATGATGGAGTGATGAAGAGAGCGGGGGAACTAATGGATATAATGGAAGGAGTGAAATTTGTGGTAATATTAGATGATGTATGGGAAAATTTCTCTCTTAGGGAAGTTGGAATTCTGGATCCGAAGGCACAGAATGGGTGCAAAGTAGTTGTCACTAGTAGATCAATTGAAGTATGCAGTTATTTGAGTTGTAAGATTGTTAAAGTGCAACCTCTTTCACAAGAGGAGTCTCTAAAGTTATTCCTCAATACAGTTGGGGATGTTGTTTTAGAAATTCCAAGGTTGGAAGAAATCGTAGAGCTTATTGTGGAAGAGTGTGCAGGCTTACCACTGGCCATTGTTGTGATAGCTGGAAGCATGAAGGGAGTTGATGATGTTAATGTGTGGAGAAATGCATTGGCTGAATTAAGAGATCGTGTAAAGAGTGTGAAAGATTCAAATGATGAGATATTTAAGCGACTAAGGTTTAGTTTTGATCGGTTGGATAGTTTGGAAGTCAAGAATTGTTTTCTTTATTGCTCCTTCTTTAAGGAGGATTATGTGTTTTCTAGAAGGGAGTTGATAGAATGTTGGATTGATGAAGGAATATTTGATGGGTTGCCTAGTAGAGAAGCAGCTTATAATAGGGGCCATGCTATTATAGATAGGCTTGAAAAGAATTTCTTATTAGAGAAAGATTCTAGGTTAGTTAAATTTAGTATACATGGAGTTCATATACCTGGGGCTAAGATGCATGATGTAGTGAGAGATATGGCTATCATAAGCATTGGTCCTGAATTTGGATATATGATAAAAGCTGGTATGAATTTGGTAGAGCTACCAGATGAGCATGGTTGGGTAAAAGATCCTAAGAAGTTGTCTTTAATGGCAAATGACATTTTAAAAGTTCCTCTTAGTCTGTCCCCAAAGTGTTCCGCCCTTTCGACATTGATATTGTCAAGTAATTCTAATTTGTCAGAGATTCCAGAATCTTTTTTTGGAGAGATGCTTACTTTGAAGGTTCTTGATCTCTCTAGCACTGCTATTGAGACACTACCTAATTCTATCTCTGAATTGAAGAATCTATCTACCCTGCGGTTACAGCTTTGCAAGAAGTTAAAGTACTTGCCTTCCTTGGCAAACCTCAGGGGATTGAAGAAGTTGGACTTGCACAGGGCAGGGATTGAGGTGCTCCCACAAGGCATGGAGATGTTGATAAGTCTTGAATATCTTGATTTGTTATTTTGTCCAAATCTGAAAGAGATTCCAACAGGAATATTACTTAACCTTTCCAGTCTTCAGTATTTGGCAGTTTGTTGTTTGCGAGAAACTACAATAGTGAGAAATTTTGAAGAGGTTGCTAGACTAAAGAAGTTGGAGACTTTAGAATGTTACTTTGATGGCATACAAGACTTCAATTATTTTGTCAACAAGTTCAAAGATTTCCAAAGGGCTATCGCTTACAGTCTTCTAGTTGGGAGTGCAGAAGACATGCTTAGAATGAGCAAACATGAGCTTGTAATTATTGATTGCGAGATCGGGGAAGAAGGTATAGTGCTTCCAAATAAGCTTGAATATTTGTGGATAAGTAAGCTTAAAAACATGGGAAGCAGCTTAAGCAAAATAGCTCTGTTAGAAAAAGCAAATGAGTTGAGGACATGCCATATTAGCTCTTGTGAAGAGATAGAGTGCGTGGTCGAGTTGCACTCATCCTCCTCCTCCTCCTCCTCCTCATTGCGTTGTCCAGTATTTGATAAGCTTGAAGACCTATCGCTTTATGGATTGCCTGGGTTGTGTAAACTTGTGAGAATGGAAGGAGAAGCAACACCACCGCATGTTTTTTCCAATCTTAAAAAGCTTTATGTAAGGAGCTGTTATGGAATAAGGAAGTTGCTTCCACTTGAGCTACTGCAGGCCTTCCAAAACTTAGAGGTGATTGCAGTTGTTTGTTGCACTCAAATAGTGGAGATAATAACATCATTAGATTCGGATGCATCATCATCGAATAAATTCACTTTCACTTTTCCTAAGTTAAGGGAATTGCGCTTGGCGGGCTTACCCCAATTGAAGAGCATCTGCAGTGCCAAAGGAGTTATGGTTTGTAATTCTATTGAAAAAATTAGAATCGGTAGTTGTCCGGAGTTAAAGAGGATCCCTGTGCAACTTCCCCAACTTGATAACGGCCAACCATCTCCTCCTCCTCATCTCAGAGAAATCTGGATAAGTGCAAGTTCAAAAGAATGGTGGGAATCACTGGAGTGGGATCATCCTAACGCTAAGAACCTCCTTCAACCCTTCGTAAATATTTTTAGATAACTGTGGGATTGAGGGTAAGGTGTTGATCGATTTACTACTATTTAATTCTAATTTGAACTTGCTTTGGTAATATATTACAGTAAGTTGTTGAAAATTTGAGAAATAATTTGTGTAGATTGAAGTGAAGAGTTGCAAACTACAAATGTAAAGCCACGTGCCACCTCAATAACACGTGCCAATAAAAGCATTTCCACAGTTCCTTCATTCCTCCCCCAACGAAAACAATTTGGGTATTCTAGAAGAGAAAGAGATGGATGTGTCTGAGATGGAAACCCTAAGTGGGTATATTCTAGAAGACAAAGATATCCCCAGCCTCTGCTCCCTCACAAGCTCCAACCAGTAAGCGTTGAGATTTCACTATCTCTATTTTGACTTATTGTAACTCTATTTAGTTTTTGTGTTTGGATTCATATTCCACTTTTCTCATTTAATAAGATAAAATTGTGGGTCATAAGATTGTTTATTATCTGTGGCTGGAGGAACATTAATAGTATTTTTTTATTTGATTTTTTGATTTATTTTTTATTTAACTTTATCTGGACAGTCTTTTTTATTTATAATTTTTCTATCATTTGCAATCCTGTGTTATTTTAGTTGCTGAAGGAAGCAATTTCTGTAGTTCCAGAGAAATCATCAACTTTCCCAATAAATCACAAGCCACCAACAACATGTTCCGATAAAAGCCCTTACTCAATAACGAAAAGATTGGTTGGAAAATTACGTGCTAAACTGAAGAATCAGACCTCAAAGAAAGTGTGAAACATCCAAAAACTAGGTATTTTGGATTGATTATTCCATTCCACTCTCTTCATTTTCTTATGCTTCTTAATTTCTATGTATTCATAAGGGTTTTATTGAATTTTTTCTGTTTTATATTTTGTTCTTTTTATAATTTGGTTTTGGGGTAAGCTTGACTGAAAATGAGCCCCCTTTAATTGCCA